GAGGTGGACAGAAGATTCCTTCCTGCTTAGAAATTGTATTTTGACAGTGGGGACTCGATCAAGAAAAAGGTTTTCCAACATTCCCCTTTGACAGAAGTCAATCCTCAGACCAACATCTGTTGAGTGGCATCGAAAATTCAGCAAGTCTTTGGCCAGCTTTTGTCTTCCATCTAGTAACACATTTACCTAAAGCATATCTAAACCAAAATGTAATATATTACAGATTACAATTCCATTAATGTGGTGGCTGCACTAGTTTTATTTTTTTTTCACCTTATTTCCCATTTATTTTTCCTTGTAATTCGGCCAATAACACACTGTCTTCTAAATAAATCCAAAAGGTCACTAAAAATCATCCAGTGTCCAAAAAATATTTTTCTTATGCAGTGAACAGTTCAAAGATATGTGTAGTCATACACAGTTCTTCCTTTTTCCCATATTACCTCAAAATAAAGAAATAAGCATAGTGCACAAAACACCTCAGTGTACCTGTGTGGGAAAAATATATAAATAAATCAAAACACTATGTGCTACCAGCACGAAGTGACTGCAAACGTGAAAATCGATCACAGCAAGAAAAAGTGAAAGTGAATGCACTAACAAAACAAGAACCCAAACACAAGATCTCCTGTCAATCGATGTACCTTACCAAATTGACAAAGGACAAATTGACAAAGGAAACCAAGTACAAAACATGCTGCAAATCCTCCCTTCAATTGCAAACAAAATGGATGATGTGAACTCATACACTCAAATAATAGTGAAAAACGTGTCTTCTGTGATCCAAAATCTGTCATCCAGTGCACCTTACCAGAGGACAGGTAAACAGGGCTTCGAATAGACCACCAGCTATCCCGCATCCTGTCTTCATATGCTCCTCACAATAATGATGGTACCTCAAAGAGAAAAAAATAGCAATAGTGCAAGACCTCCAATGAACTTAAAGGCACTTTAATAGAATTGCTTGCATTTAAAATTGCAGAGTTAGCGCAGCTAAAAAAACAACCAGCAGCAAAAGTATAAAGCTCACTTTCTTCCAGATGGATAAACCACTTCCAAGATGGCCGATTCAGAACTTCCAGCTACATCGTCTGACATCACTTCCTGACATCGACTTAGTCGGAATCGATCCATCTATGGCCGCCTTTAGGCTGGCTTCACTATGGGTGGACGAGCAACAGAGGCACCTTTGAACTGCTGCATTGTCAGTCTGGGGAGAGGGTAGTGTTATACTAGCAGATTTAGATGGTCTTGACCAGGGGTGTCAAACTAGCGGCCCTCCAGCTGTTGCAAAACTACAAGTCCCATCATGCCTCTGCCTTTGGGAGTCATGCTTGGCTTGCAACTGTCAATCTTGCAATGCCTCATGGGACTTTGGCAACAGCTGGAGGGCCACCAGTTTGACACCCGTGGTCTTGACTATCAAATTAAAGCCGAACTTGAGCTAACACTTTTTAAGCTGTTACAGCAACATTATTTTTTCCTTTTTTTATATTAATGAATAAAAGCTGACCATTGTAAGCAGAGTGTTAGTGTTAAATGCTTGGTCTTAACCCTCTGAAACCAGTTAAAGTAACAGTTGGAAAAAAAAAAAAAACCCAGACTTACGTGGCTGGATCACCAAGTACAATAAAAGGCAAAAAGCAAAAAAGAAAAAGGAAACAAATGCACCACATTTAAGGATTGGTAAGCCTCAATATAATACATTTTGCTTTTGGTTTAGAAATGCTTTCATTAGTGTTACATACATTGTACAGTGTTATTAACATTCTGGTAGTAATGTGTATGTTGGCTCATGGGGATGCTTATTGTTTTCAAATAAAGCTTGTCTGAAAAGAAACACAGAAGGTAAATACTCAATGAATTTTGTTTCTTATCTACCAAGCCTTATTAGCAGACATAGTGAGATGCAGTTATCTGTAAAAAAATGCTGCAGTCATCAGTTTTCAAAATTTCTAAAGTCACTCCCTTTATGGTATCTGATGTGTGAAAACCATTTGCAGACAGTCTGTTATCTAATCCAAGACACAACACCTCTGCTTCCATATGCACCCAATGGATAGACAACCTTTTAAAATGATTTTCTTTTGAAGTGTATTTAATCACTAGTTGTGCTAAAGTGGAGCTCCAGCCAAAAACCTTTTATTTTAGTTATGGATATTGAAAGAGAGAGCGGATTAGAGCGTATGTGATATTATCTTTTGCTTCCTGTTGTGTTACCAGGACAGGAAATGAAAATATTCTCTTTAATGGGGACACATATTGCAACAAAACCTCTGAGATTCTTATTCTTTCCATTCTACCAATGAAAGTGATTTCTGTCTCCCCATTGGAGAGTCTGTCTTGACGACACAATATTAAATTTAAAAAAAAACCTCCCCTATGGGGAAACAGACAACAGAAAAAAACAATGACAGATGTACTAACGCTCTTTCTATACCCCACATGTAAAAAAAATCTGTTTTAACTAATATGTTTTGGTTGGTTGTTTCTTATCTAAACCTAAGATTTAACAACAACAACAAAAAAATAAAATCTGCTAAGGGCATATGATGTGTTCTTTGTGCTGCTGTCTTCTGGATTAGGTGAAATCTCCCTCTCTAATCCCCAAATCCCACTGATGATATATTCGTTTCTGTGGGATCAAAGTGTTACTAAACCCACAATAGTAAAATCATTCTGTACATGCAGAAAAGCATGCATGGGATACTCACTGTTAATCCTCTGCATTGTGTGAAAAAGCTGTTTTATCCTGTCTTCTCTGATCCTCCCCTTCTTTTGTCATCCCCAATCCATATGCCATAGTTAGAGCAACAGTGCAAAGTCTGCACATGCTCTGTTTGGTGTGTTTTTATAGAGTGTGTGTTTTTTTTTTTTTGGGAGGGTGCATGTGATCAGCACAGGGCCCATCAGCGCTGTCCAGACAGAGGGTCAAGGGTCATGCAGCCTCATAGGACAGTCAGAGGAGAATGAAAACTCTCCCTCTAAGTCAGCTGTCCCTCCCCTATACTAAAGCTGGCACTGGAAACCGGTCATGTGAATGGACCAGCATAGCTAAGTATAGACATCTTTCCTTTTACAGGATAGATAGAATGGGGATGGGAGTAGATTAGTTAGATTAGTTAGGTTTTGAATTGCCTTCCACTTTAAGGGTAACCTGTTATGTGTTTATGGCTTGTGTACTAGAGAGCTGGAATGGTCTACGGTTTTTGCTGCAGACACTTTATTTTTTTTTTTTTTTTAAAGCCCAACTCCATTTAAAATGTTTTGTTTGGTTTTGGGAACAGCAATGAAAAGTAATAGTGGCTGTAAGGTTTTCATTACTGTTTGTGTTCCTATTTGGGAAATTTCCTCTCACTACCTATCCGAATAGGAAGTAATGGTAAATAGTTTCAATGGAGAAACAGAAAAACACATTTTTAGTAGAGTGAAGGGGAATAAGTGTCTGACATTGTTTTTACTGCGGTCAATGGCTTCCTTTCCCAGTGACAGCTACACTCCTATTTTATGTATAGGCATTATGAGGATAGAAGTGTGGGAAAACCTGAATGAAATTTGAACTCTTGCCTACTCAATCTAATGCTAAAGAAATTGTGGCTGATGTTGGGCTATAACTGGCTTTCTTAACATAGATAAAATTACTATGAAATACTGCCATCAAGAAAGTATACCTCCACCCCCCCCCTCCAAATGTATTGTATGCAGGCAAGAAATCTTGAATACCCCCTCACTAGGTAGAACTGGCTACTTGGCAGTGTAGCTGATCAATCAAGCTGCATTTCTTTTTTTGAATGTCTAAGTTGCAAATATCCATTTTTGTTCAAATTTTAGAAGCATTTCTTTGGGATTTCCTATGTTGAGTATACTCGAGTATGATCTTCCTTATAAAATGAAGATCCAAAACACACCAGAGAACATCTTTCCACTGGTTTAGTAACAATTTTACTATTTCTTAGGAAAAGCTTTATTGCCCAGGCAGGCAATTAAAAGTCTGGGTTAGTCTTCTCAGTCTAGAAAATATAAAAAATGATGATAATTCTAATGATGATTAATAATGATGATGACAACATCCTTAGTATCTTGTTTTTAAAAAATGGTGTCTTATTTACTTTCAACCAAGTTAGAAAATTATTTTTTTCTAGCAGCTCAGTGGGAAGAGCTGTACAATCAAAACTTGTAATTTAGGGTGTAAAAAGAAGTATTGGTAAATTGAATAGACGAGCTTTAAAGAATGCCAACACAAAAGTCATATATGATTTAAAAAAAAGATATACCCTTTCATACTAGGAACAAAGATTCATACCCCATTTAGAATGGCTTTACCTGAGTGCTAGATTGCAGAATGAATAATGAACAAAACTTCAGTCATGCTTGAAAATTTTAACTCTGAACTCTGAAAATTATTGACTCTGGGGACTTTACTTGCACATACTTGTTCAATTTACTTTGCATTATAATCTTTATACTACCCAATTGCATCAGTTATATCTGTAGGGAAAAAAACTAAAAAAATCACATCCTGTACAGAGTACTTCTATTATTGGAGAAGATGTCAGTTAGTTTAGACTCTCAGGGCCGTTTGTGGCACATATGCTATCAGAAATCCATGCATTTTGTTAAATACCATCTTGAATTAACATTTATTCTGTAAAAAACATAATTATTATAGATTGTTAAATTGTCTTGGCTAAATAACCGGTAGCTGTAAAATGTCACAGCTGTAAACTGTCAAAGGATCAGATGTCATTAATATCATTGTTGTGTTTGTCTTTGCAGTATGTAAATAAAGTTAGTTTATTCTTATTTATTGCCCTGTTATAGGGAATTGGTAGCATAAGTCAACAAGTAGTTTTATAAAACATAATGCCATAGTTTACAAAAGAGCAATACATGTGCCAGAAGATGGATGTTATTGGTTCCATGCAGCCCTTCTGTGTACTTCATCTTTTTTGCATGTCCTACTTGCATTACGTTATTCCCCTTCCCATTCTTTCTTTTAGTGTTTATCCAGAGAAAACATCTTTGCGCTTTATGGAAACAAAATTACTGAAGAAAACTTTCAGACTGCCTGCCCTGCTCTGTTATACCTAGTTTATTCTAAGCCATGTGACTATGAAGAGACAACCAATCAGAGGCCTTCTCCTGCTCAAGGTACCACTTTGAACAAACATATCATGATAAACACAACATATGTGGTGATTGTTTATCCAGCATTTGTCCCATGATTGTATAAACATTTTGAAGTATCTAAGAAGGCTTGTAAGCAGGTGCTTCCATAAAGATTCTGAAGTATTAAAAGTTTTCTTCTACAGTGTTCATGCTCTGGGGTAATCAGGTTAACTATGTTTATGTGTCAAAGCTAATTGTTACAATGTAAAGTTGCTGCACCTTAGGTTGTCCTTAGGTTGACCTGCTGAGCTGGTGGTTCCTGAGAAGAAAGGGTTAACGGTGCTGGACATATTTTCAGGAAGGTTACCGCCCCCTGCAGGTCATACCATATAAATAGGGGCTCATTAGTCTCCTAAGAGATCAGCCTGGGGAAATTTTGCCACAAACATAGCCTTTATGCTGTCAATTTGAACCACCCAGTTAGGGTTCCCAGTGGGGTCTGGAGCCTGTGAAATTGTTCTACCTCAAGCTGGACCCTATTATGGATTGTTGCTACCTCATGTGGATTTACTGCCTATTATGGACTCTTGCCTTGAGAAGGACTCCTATGGATTTAGCCACCTTTTTAGTCTAAGGTATAAAAACCTCATGGCACTACTTTAGGGCACTAGAGAACTTTGTACAGGAAAGTGTGTGGAAGATGTCTTTGGGAACTGTTTTTGCTTGTTACCTGCAAGTGCCTCAGTAAAAGATCTTTATTGTTCTTCTAATTGCCTGGTCTGAAGTCTCTAAGGGGGTGCATGTAAGAACAGGGCTTACAACAGGTGACTGGAAAGGTTAGAGAAGATACAGTCAAGAAGTCTAACAAGCACTGAGCTGTCCAGAGGAAGCTATATTGCTATTGTTAACGCCTACCATATTTGTGTCACTTGCTAACACAGCCAACCAGCAAGGAAACGGTTGACATGGTAGAGGTGATGGATGCGCTGGTAGTGAAGGAGTGTTCTGCTTGGATCCTTCACTGGTGACCAGTTCCCCACATACTGGGGTTGACCTCATGGCACAAAGTACCTAGAGACCAAACCTGTTAGTCACAGGTGAAATAGTGAGGCCTTTGGAGGAGGACAAGTATGAAGTTATGGAGAATCCTAAGGTAATATACAAACACTGTCACTGGGAGTGAGGTGACGACACTGCTGAATTGGTGGAGACCATTACACACTCCATGATACCAGCTTAGAAATGATGCAGACCTGGAGGGAGAGGTGTTCTTTAACAGAAGATAGGTCCAATGTGCTTTAACGGCAACAGTGTAAGAACTTGAAGTCTGGCCACAGAATACAGAGCACTAACTGTGCAAGCTGCTCGCTTCTAAGTAATGAATGGCAACAATTGGCATAAATGTCTATAAGCAAAGACAGCTCCCTTTGCACATCAAAGGCAAAAGCTAACAGTAATGGGAAACCTGCTTTGTTGAGGAAGGGAAACTTGTTGTTTCAGTGGACACTGCTGTATTCTGGCCTGCAACTGTATGTCCTGCGGTAAGCTTGTATGAGAAACTACAATGTAGATGTATCTGAACAATGGCGGCTGCAAGAACTAGACTTAAAACTGAATCAACTTCATGTAATGTTCACAAGCTATGCAAAGGTAGATAACTGAGGTGGCGAACTATCAGTATTCACTTGGTTAGTGGATGCATGGGTCTCTCTCACTCGATTAAGTAGTCTGGCAGATTGAAGCAGTCTGTCTCCGTCTCTGCAAACTGGGTCAGTCCACGGACTCTCCGGCTCAGACTCGGAATCCTGTCTGGTCTCCTGCTGTCAAATTGGCCTGCTGGGCAGCGTGGCATACCGGGTGGTCAGTAAGCTCTTTCTGCTCTTCCTCTCTTGCTAAGGCTCCATGTACACAGGACGTTTGGAAAATACTTCTGAACGATGGAAACTGACTGCTGGAAAATGTCAGTTAAAAAACGACTGTTTAGCCGTGTTTGCATACTGCGTTTATGTGTGTTTATGAGTGTTTGTGTTTTAGAAGTGTTTTTTTTTTAAGATAACCCCAGGAGACCTTCCAAATTGCCCAGAATGCACTGAAAAACAGTAACAAATTAACTATTTCAGACATTTTGAGAGAAATAGAGAGAGCAGAAGCAGAGAGAGCAGTATGTGTTGAGATGACCTTTCTTTTCTGGTTGTATTCACTATGGATCCCATCATGAGCATAATGCAGCACGTTCTACTATTTTTTTTCCTTCACACAAAACCTGGAACTGACTGCGCTGGTGTGCTAGGTCTGTTTGAATACACGGAAAACTCTTTGCATGCATTTCTGATGATGAAAAAAGTCTCTGGACAGCATTTGGATATGGAACAGGTAAAAAACGCTTCTAAATGCACACGCTTATAAATGCGGTTAGCCGCGCTTACATGCATTTGGCGTTTGAAATGCTGATAAAATCTACTTCTGAACGCAAGTTTGGTGTGTTCAAAAAAATGACTGTAAACGCAACTGCCTGTAAATGACTGTAAACGACATAGTGTACATGGACACATAGGAAAACATTAGGGAGAGTTCAGGGGCTGCTGAAAAAAAGCAGACAAGCTCCTGAACGTGAGTTTATCAGCTGCAGTGTACATGAACCCTAACTCCGGCTCTACGGCCTAGCTCAGCACTGTCCTGCTCACCAGCTGAGCCTTGCTGTACAGCATACAAGTTCCAGAGGGCTCTGCTGTCCATGTGCCAAGGGCGACTACTCTGTCCTCCTTCTCCTGGACCTCTCTGCGGCCTTCGACACAGTCGACCACCCCCCCCTCCTCCTTAATAAACTACTCTCCCTTGGCATCAGAGATACCGCACTCTCCTGGTTCTCATCCTACCTATCCCGACGCTCCTTCAGCGTCACCTACAATGGTACCACCTCCCCCTCCCTCCCCCTCTCTGTTGGGGTCCCCCAAGGCTCTGTCCTTGGACCCCTTCTCTTCTCCATCTACACCTCCTCCCTGGGCACACTCATACACTCCCATGGCTTCAATTATCACCTCTATGCTGACAACACCCAAATCTACCTCTCCACCCCTCTCCTCACCCCCACTATCTCCGCCCGCATCACTCACCTCCTAAACGACATCTCAGACTGGATGTCGCTCCATTTCCTCAAGCTTAACCTCTCCAAAACCGAACTCCTCGTCTTTCCCCCTGCCCCCCCCCCCCCCCGCCAGCCTATCCATCACCACCACCAACACCACTATCATTCCCGCCCCGCAAGCCAAAGTCCTTGGCGTCATTCTTGACTCGAACCTCTCTTTCCTCCCTCATGTCAAATCACTTGCAAACACCTGCAGGCTCCATCTCCGCAACATTGCCAAGATACGTGCTCCTTCCTTCACCCCTGACACCACCAAACTTCTTGTACACTCCCTCATCATCTCACGCCTTGACTACTGCAACTCTCTTCTCATTGGCCTACCCAAGTGCAGGCTCTCCCCGCTCCAGACCATCCTGAACTCAGCGGCCAGACTCATCCACCTTCCCACCCGCTCCACCTCTACCACCCCCCTCTGCCTCTCCCTCCACTGGCTCCCAATTGCCCAACGCATCAAATTTAAACTTCTAATCCTGACCTACAAAGCCGTTCATAACACTGCCCCTTACTACCTCACCAACCTGATCCCCAAGTACCACCCTACCCGTACCCTTCGCTCCTCACAGGACCTCCTTCTATCCTGCTCCCTGGTCTCCTCCTCCCATGCACGATGCAGGACTTCTCCAGGTCCTCCCCTATCCTCTGGAACTCACTGCCTCAATCCATCTGACTGTCGCCTTCCCTCCCCACATTCAGGCGCTCCCTCAAAACCCATCTCTTCAGGGAAGCCTACCCCACCCTCACCTAACGGCCATCCTCCCTCATTCCTCCCACCACTTCATCCCCCTCAGCCACTTCATTCCCCTCAGCCACTTCCTATTGTTCCACTACCCCCTCCCTCCTAGATTGTAAGCTTGAAAGAGTAGGGCCCTCTTACCCCTCGTACACTGTCTGTCTTTGTTGTACTGTGCCATGTATTGTCCCCCCTATTGTACAGCGCTGAGCAAACCCTTTGGCGCTATATAAACTCGATGTAATAATAATAATGTGAGTGACCCTGAACAGACCACTGTCCATTTTAATGTACTGCAAGTAATAGTATGGGCTACATCTAAAATATCACTTTAGGGTGGACTGACACAATAATTTAAATACCCATGTCAATGTATAGCAATGTTTTAAAACAAAGTTTTTCTTCATATTTAAATAGATTTGCAAGGGGCATCCATTGCACATATTAAATATTTAGACTGTGCATACTGATGAAAGGTGCTACATGGTAGCTGTGCTTTAATGTTCCTACCAATCAATGTACTCTGGACAGTCTGGGGCACTGTGGCAAGCCTGGAGGCACTACATTGTAGTGATAAACCTGAGCATAGTGTGGCATCATGGCAAACCTGAGGGTACTGTGCAATCATGCCAAACCTGATTTTACTATACCATTGTGGTAAACCTGATGATACTGTGCCATTGTGTCAAACGTAAAGATACTGTTCTAGTATGAAAAACATGAGGGGACTGTGCCATCATGGCACATCTAATGGTACTGTGTACTTATTGCAAACCTTGGCACAAAAATATGTCCTATCCAGCAGAAATACTCCATAAACATCCACTACTAAATAGACTTGTAATCTCTCTTTTTTATGAAATTGCTTGTTTCTTACTGTTTTCTCCCTCCATGAAACATCCTGTGTAAGCTCCCAAACCTTTCCTTCACCCACTGACTTCAATTTGTTTGGAATGAGCAGTACGTGTTAGTTGTGGTTAGGTGTGCACTGCTCCTATGCATACTACAAATCCCATAGTTCATAGTTTATATTCCCTACTCTATCTCTGGAGGGAGCAAGAGAGTGTGATAACATTCCTACATACAATGGGACCATGGAGAACAAACAAAGCCATCCTCTAACAGGACGTCAGGTCACAGCAGCAAAGAAAAGGGAATTTTTAGATT